TCTAACTTTGCAAGCATAACAATGATATGACAGCAAAACCACGGTGTAACTTGGAAAATCCCATGTGTATTATTACGCACTAAGAACTATCATGCATATTTATGCATAACCCTAAAAACACTTATGCATAATTATGCATAATTATGCATAACCCTAAAAACACTTATGCATAATTATGCATAATTATGCATAACCCTGAGAACAGTTATGCATAATTATGCATAACCCTAGCAAGCCTTATGAACAATTATGCATAACTGTTTGAAGAATTATGCATAACCCTTGACCATTATGCATAATTATGCATAACCTTCAAAACCTTATGCATAATTATGCATAATTATGCATAATTATGCATAATGTTGCAACTTTAGATTATTCCCCAGGGGGCAATCGATGGTGGCTACGTATTTCTTACATCATTTTTACCTATAGTTTGCAATTTTAGCCCATCAGGGTGTAAGGTGGCTGAGATATGGGAGGCCAGTCCGGAATTAAACTGGAAGTCCGGAATTAAACTGGAGGCTGTTCCTGATGAAGATGACAGACGGTCATCGAAATGTCGGCTCATAAAAATAAATGGTTGTGATCAAAGAACTTTGCTATTCATTCGTTTACCAACCTGATGAAATTATTTACTGACAACTGAGAGCTGTTCCACTGAGTACTGTACCTTTTCTTTGAACATGGAGCACTTGAGGGAGAAGTAGCCCAGCAGGTCCACAAACTGAGCTGCCTTCCTGCCGTAGGAGGGGAGATGTGGCCAGACTCCCCACATCAGGTCCAGCAGCAGGTTCTGTCCTTCTGTATTACCGTAACTGGGGAGAAACAGGTACATGTATGTCAGGATTCACAACACACTTTGTCACGGGTACCATAGGAAAAATTTGGTTTAAATCTGGACATTTCTATCATCTCTATACAAGTCATACATGTACTATTATCTTATAAATCAAATTAATAACTAAATAGTTTATATAATAATCTATTCCAAACTTTACAATTATAATTATTTTATTTTAGATATTTTACAGGTCCAAATAGGCTCTTGGAGCCAAGAGACTGCAGGTACATGTACATGTAATACATGTAGCATGAAACTTCATCTGAGTTGGTAAAATACGTCAATGAGAATTAACTGTTCTCCAAACTTAGCTCAGTCTTCATCAGCTGTCTGACCAGAAAGTCAACAACATAGTACTATCTATTGGGAGTAATTTTGCGTATGAATATGAAAATGTACACTGTCAGTGAGAATAATAGAGTTGATAGGTCTATATACATTGTAAAATGCACTCGTATTTCCCGGCAGTTGTAAGATGGAAACAGGAACACTAGAATTATATTGCCTGCCTTTATTTGGTGGTCGGCTTGATGTTGCATCAAACAAACTTGAGTTGACGGAAAAAAATTTAAGGCAGGCTAGAGCACTGACTTAACACAAATGCCCTCCAGTTACTGTACTTCAACTGAAACATGAAGTATAACAGTCAGTGGTAATAGACAAGTCCCTATACAAACCTGAAGATGCTCAATAACAACAAGTGTGCCTGCCAACGCACTGATGTGGAGTTGGAGTGAAGCAGGAAGCAGTGGATGAAGCGCTCCCATAAAGCACTGTCTGCTATGGCCAGGAGCTGCTGTACAATAGACTGGCACATCTGCTGTCCTTCATTCACAGGATCATCCATACCTGAACACACAAGGTACAGAATACATGTATTACATACAACTAGTACACACATCTTACACACAAGGTACAGCATATTACACACAAGGTACACACATATTACACAGAAGGTACACACACAAGGTACAGACATCTTACACACAAGGTACAGACATCTTACACACAAGTTGCACACATCTTACACACAAGGTACTCACATCTTACACACAAGGTACACACATCTTACACACAAGGTACACACATCTTACACACAAGGTACACACATCTTACACACAAGGTACACACATCTTACACACAAGGTACACACATCTTACACACAAGGTACACAAATCTTACACACAAGGTACACACATCTTACACACAAGGTACACACATCTTACACACAAGGTACATGTTGTTGTTGTTGGCATCCTTTCATCTCGAAAGACGATGGAGTGTGCGCCGTGGATCAGGATGTCTTCATGCATCGCCTGCTGTGGCTGAAGAGGCCGATCCTGGAGCGGCATACTTTGCCACAGTTGACACAGGTGAAATCGTCTGGTTGCGTGCAGGTTTGTGCTGGTCTCTGTCGTCTACGCTGTCTTCTCTCCTCCCACTGTTCTTCTCTCCTCTTCTCACTGGTTTCTTCACAAGGTACATGTACACATACAATGTACATATACATGTATCTTACATACAAGGTACATACATCTTACACACAAGGTACACATACATGTATCTTACACACAGGGTACACACATCTTACACACAAGGTACACATATCTTACACACAGGGTACACACATCTTACACACAATACACATACATCTTACACACAAGGTACACACATCTTACACACAAGGTACTCACATCTTACACACAAGGTACACACATCTTACACACAAGGTACACACATCTTACACACAAGGTACACACATCTTACACGCAAGGGACACATATCTTACACACAAGGTACACACATCTTACACACAAGGTACACGTATCTTACACACAAGGTACACACATCTTACACACAAGGTACACACATCTTACACACAAGGTACACACATCTTTACACACAAGGTACACACATCTTACACACAAGGTTACACACATCTTACACACAAGGTACACATATCTTACAAAGTACACACATCTTACACACCCAGGGGGACCGAAGAAAAGCGGTCACCTTGGACACGTGGTCTCCTTGAATAGGATCGCCTCACAACATGACCAAGACATTAAATGTTTTCCAAGTCGAGGTGTTTTCATGTCAAATGCTGTAAGGATCTTCAGTTCTGTGGTGAATGCATGTGGGG